GGGGAGTCCCGGACCGGAGACTGTCGCGGGGAGGGGAGTCCCGGACCAGAGACTGTCGCGGGGAGGGAAGTCCCAGACTGGAGGCCAGCATGAGGAGGGGAGTCCCGGACTGGAGGCTGTCGTGGGGAGGGGAGTCCCGGACTGGAGGCTGTCGTCAGGGGGAGGGAAGAACCTTGTGAACTGGATGTTTGAAGCCTAGTGTGGTCTGTAGTCTTGGCTGAGTACGGTCTGGAAGCCATGTGCTGGCACGGACTTGGGTTAAAAGGACTGTAACTCAATTACCATTTTTTTCGCTTTTTATTCTTATGCTGGACTTTATATTACATTTCAATTTTGTACCAAATATTTTAGCAGGTATCTTGTACCTAAGAAGGCGTCATAAGCTGCAATATTGCAAACTTTTCACTGCACGTGACAGCAAAGTTAATTCAATTAAATGCTCTGTCACTCACTCTGTTCTGCACCAATAAACCCCTACTAATGATGTAGGGGATTACTGGATGGGATTAACCTGTGCCCATTCTGAGTTCTGCAGACAGCTTGGTAAATTCATGCTGCCAGTTATTTTCCAAACTGTCAGAATTGGTTATTGCCTGCATCGATCAGTAGGTGAGGATGCAAATTGTTTTATCCTGTAGCACAGATACATGAGGAATATTTAAGTATTTCTGTACGAGATGGGACCTGTGCAAATTGGCAGGTCATAGCTGAACAGGAATGGAATCAACATCCTCGCAGGAAGATTTCCTAATGCTACAGGAGGGGATTTAAACTAGATGGGCAGGGAGATTGCAATTCAGAAGGCAGAAAACCTGCAATGGAATCAGAAGTTAAAACATGAGTCAGTGAGTCTTGAAGGCAGAAAAAAGATAAGAAAGAAATGAGATTAGCAAGCTTAAATGGAATATGTTTTAATATAAGGAGCCTGATTCTTAAGACAGCTGAGGTCAGGGCACAGATAATCACATTGGAGTACGATATCAGAGCTATGACCAAGGCTTACCTAAAATACGGGCAGGATTGGCAGTTCAACATTCTCGGCCAGTCTATCCCCAGAAATAGAAACAGAAATGTTGAGGAAAGGAAGGAAGGAGTCAGAGATGGACCAGGTGAAGGAGAGAGTGGGGTGGAAATTGGAAGCGAAATCGATAAACTTTTCCAATTCCAGACAAGGGAGGGAGGCAGTCCTGATGATATCATTGATATATTGGTAAAAGAGTTGTGGGTGGGGGCCGGAATGGGACTGGAACAAGGAATTCTCCACATACCCCACAAAGAGACAGGCATAACTGGGGCCGGTATGTGTAACCATGGCCACCCCTCTGACCTGAAGAAAATGAAAGGAGTTAAAAGAGAACTTGTTCAGGGTTAGGATGAGCTTGGCCAAGCGGAGGAGGGTGTTGGTGGATGGAGACAGTTCAGGCTTTTGTTCCAGGAAAAAGCGGAGATCCCTGAGACCATCCTGGTGAGGGATGGACGTGTAGAAGGATTACACATCCATGGTAAAGTGGAGGCAGCTGGAACCTGCAAACTGGAAATTCTTGAAACTAGAGTAAAGCGTCCCAGGAGTCGCGGGTGTAAATGGGCAGGGTCCGGACCAGGGGAGAAAAGACTGAGTTAAGGTAAGAAGAGTGCCTCTGAAACATCCACTTTCTTCCTCAACTGAGGATTCCCCAGCACTGTAGTTGACAAGGTCCTCAGCCAGATCTGACCCATCTCCTACACTTCAGCGCTCACACCCTCTCTTCTTTTCTGCAACAGTGTTA